GACGAGTTTTTGGCGACGGACGCCAATCTATCGCCAATGTAATCATTGGCGACGGGTTGGCTGTCCGTCACCAATACCATGTCGCCAATGCGGGGTTTTTTACTAGTGATAGCTCCTGATTAAAATGTTGCCCCTCTGGTCTAGTTCATAGATTAACAAAATAAGACAACTGTCTGTGCAACCAGTGAAGTATGCTGACATACTGACTACTGATGTGTTTATAGTGAAAGTTATGTGCCCAAATATGTAAGGGAGGCTACAGCTACTCTGCTATGTGAGAAGATTTCCTGCGACAGAACTTCTTTACAGTATTTTTTGTTCTTCTTTTAAGAAAGTTAATGATGGAATTAAATATCCAGACAACACTGTTGTTAGTCATTTGAATCTATGTTATTGTTTGCCTATAAATAATCTTTTGTTTTGAAATTCTTGGATCCATTTGTAACAACCTACTTAAGGTCTTATTCATATTTTACAGTGCAGAAAAGAATATATTTTCTTTGTATTCTTCATTTTGACTTTATCAGCTGGTTAACAGGTCATTAAACAATGCATTCTTATAGTCTATTATTTCCCGTGAATTATGCATGCTCAACTTCGCTTTAGTGTGGCACATATGCTTCTCACCGTCAATCACCTTTGTTGTGCCACATCTTGGGAGTCACAATTGCTCAAATTATTTTTGGATTCAACTACTTAGATACCCTCCACCCTATCATTACTGTGTTGCTTTAATTTCCTGGTCTCGCTTCATTGGTGATCCATCTTCAGTTTTAACTACTCTCAAGTTTTATTCAATATCTTATTCCTATATTTAAAGTCTAATTTAGCTTTTGTGCTGCTAAAATTAAAGTAGTGCAATGTACGTCAAAATTCAAATTTATTTTTGTACAAGGTTGTTGCATCACATTATATTCCATTTATGAAAATATACATTACCTAGGCTGATAGTCATGCACAGGATTTACTTTAGGTTTAGCTCTTTCGCATTCTCAATTTGTTGATATTTATGGCTTGTCCTTGGTTTCAGAAGTGATGACGATGATGACGAATTTGGCGCTTCTCATTTTGGTTTGGAAACACAACGTTTCCAGGCTTCTAATGATTATTATGGCCCCATTGGCTTTGATGACTTTGACCAGGGTTACCAATCTGATAAAGTTTATCCTTCAGAAGAAAATGCAGATGATAAAAAGATACATTGTTCTGTCCCAAACAATGCAGAATTCCCTACTTCTTTTGATGAGGACAAGATACGAGCAAGGGCAGGACATGATAATAGTTATGAGGGTGGTCCTTCTTCCACCATTTATGGTATGGAGGGTTTGGATATAGAGCCTGTAGATTTTGAAAATAGCAAACAACTTTGGCATCCTCCTGAGCCTGAAGATGAAGAAGATGAGAGAGAACCTACTCTTTTTGACGATGAGGATGATGAAGATGCTACAGGGGAGTGGGGATATCTGCGCTCATCAAATAGCTTTGGCAGTGGTGAGTACAGAGCGAGAGATCGTTCCGGTGAAGAGCATAAGAAAGCCATGAAAAATGTTGTTGATGGGCATTTCAGGGCTTTGATAGCTCAGCTTCTTCAGGTTGAAAATTTATCTGCAGGTGATGAAAATAATAAAGAAAGTTGGCTGGAGATCATTACATCTTTGTCATGGGAAGCAGCAACTCTTCTTAAACCAGACACTAGTAAAGGTGGAGGAATGGATCCTGGTGGGTATGTGAAGGTTAAATGCTTAGCTTCTGGCCGACGTTGTGAAAGGTAAATAACTCACTATTGTGAATTACTATTGAGCATTGTAATTTTTTTTCCAAAAGCTACTGGGTTTTGTGTGACATTTTTATTGGGACATTCCTAGTATTTGGTGGTTGCTTTCTCATACATATGTGTCTGCATTGAAAGTTTTTCATCATGGCTAAATATGAGTTGCTGATGAAGCCTGTCTCTTCTTTTATTCTAGCATGGTAGTTAAAGGAGTTGTTTGTAAGAAGAATATTGCTCATCGCCGTATGTCATCAAAAATTGAAAAACCTCGTTTCCTAATCCTGGGCGGTGCTCTTGAATATCAACGAGTAACAAATATGCTGTCAAGTGTTGATACTTTGTTGCAGCAGGTATTTGAACTAATTTTCCATTTTCTTCCTTTTATGTGAGAATTGGTGGGAAGAAGTGTGTTTATCTATTTTATATATCATGTTATGTCATCTAGGAAATGGATCATTTGAAGATGGCGGTTGCAAAAATAGATGCTCACCACCCCAATGTACTGTTAGTTGAGAAGTCAGTATCCCGTTTTGCACAAGATTATCTCCTTGCCAAAAACATTTCACTTGTTTTGAATATTAAAAGGCCACTTTTAGAGCGTATAGCCCGCTGCACTGGTGCTCAAATAGTTCCTTCAATTGATCACCTTTCATCTCAAAAGCTGGGGTATTGTGATTTGTTTCATGTGGAGAAGTATTTTGAAGAGCATGGGAGTGCTGGTCAGGGCGTAAAGAAGCTGATGAAGACATTAATGTTTTTTGAAGGGTGCCCAAAGCCATTGGGTTATACTGTAAGTCTTTCAGCTTGTCCTTATCCATCCCAGTGATCTATTTCTGTCTTATTCTTTCATATGCTAAATCTGGCTGTGACTAAAAGAAGAACAGCGCATGTTTCACTTATATGTGCTTATTAATTATTATGTAAATGTCCCATTTTGGATGTTTATGAAGTTTGATCTTCGGGATAAATATGAAGAAAGCAAGTTAACTAGTTATGTAAAGGTACATTATTCGATGACCATTACAAGTTCAATGTAACTGCACATCTTTTGCCCACTCTCGATCTGTATAGTACAGCGGTGCTAAATTTCCATGTTAGTTCCCACAAGCGTGAGTTATCCTGCTTCTGTGCTTAATTTAGGTATAGCAAACAACACATCATATAGTTCATTTGATTAATAAACCTTATGCTCGTTGGTCTACTTTTTGTTGTTTCTGATATATGCTTTTGTCAGAAATTCTGAAATGCTTTTGTTCTTCTGAACTTCATTTAGTTTCTTTCTCATTTATATCAATTTAATATTCAGGTGTTTTAAATAGAGTTCCACATGTGAGGAATACCCTTGCAGATTCTTGAGCTCAACCTGTCTCTACCTACTTGAAATTTGAAAACTCATATGGCAGAATTTCTCATAAACTGGGTTGATATCTATTTCCTTGTTTATGTTAATGCTTATGACATATGCGAGGTTGTGCAATATCCTTATAATTCTTCAGCATGATGAAGAGCTACAAGAGTAGTTATTTGATATAATTTTTGTTTTCATCATATTTGTAGATTCTGCTCAAGGGGGCTAGCGGCGATGAGCTCAAGAAAGTCAAACATGTTGTTCAATATGGAGTCTTTGCAGCATATCACTTGGCTCTGGAAACTTCTTTCCTTGCAGACGAAGGTGCCTCTCTACCTGAACTTCCATTGAAGTCCCCAATAGCTGTCGCATTGCCAGATAAACCATCCCAAATTAGTAGATCCATCTCCACATTTTCTGGTTTCTCAACCCCAGCTTCCAGCAATCCCCAAATCACAAGTAATGTGCTAGGACCTGATGAATCTGATTCCACGCCATTGGAGCAGGACAGACAAGCTGACCCTGAGCACCAGAATTTGGCAACTGTAATAAGTTCACCTGAGCACTCTTCTACTGGTGCTGAGGGAGATGAAAAGAACACGGGTGCTGTAGAACATGTTGAGCCTGAATCTGTCAGGTATAATGTCCAGACATTTGAACAAAATTCTGGGTCAGAGGGAGGAGATAAATGGATGGTTAATGATACACTTCCAGAGAACAAGCAGATTGCTGGGGAACAACCTTGTTCTTCCGATGCGGAGATAAGACATCAAGAAAACAGCCAAAAAGACGATCATGAATTATCAAAGGAAGAATTTTCCTCTTCTGATCATCAAAGCATTTTGGTATCCTTATCTTCAAGATGTATCTGGAAAGGGACTGTTTGTGAGCGTGCACATCTGTTTCGCATCAAATACTATGGCAATTTTGACAAACCACTTGGAAGATTTTTACGTGACAATTTATTCGATGAGGTAAGCTTTTTTTTAATATACTTTTGGTTCTCTTTGATTTGTAACTTTTAGAGAGTTATATTGACTTTTCGCTTTGATAGAGTTACCGGTGTCGTTCATGTGAGTGTCCGCCAGAAGCTCATGTTCACTGTTACACTCATCATCAAGGAAGTTTAACGATATCTGTAAGAAAGCAAGATTTCACTTTGCCTGGAGAACGAGATGGCAAGATCTGGATGTGGCATAGGTGCTTAAGGTGCCCTCGGATTAATGGCTTTCCGCCCGCAACTCGAAGAGTTGTAATGTCTGATGCTGCATGGGGTTTATCCTTTGGGAAGTTTTTGGAACTTAGCTTTTCAAATAATGCTGCTGCTAGTCGAGTAGCTAGCTGTGGTCATTCCCTTCACAGAGATTGCCTTCGATTCTATGGGTACCTCTTGTTTATATCTTAAACCTATAGGCTATAGTATGAACCCAACCGCACCAATTTCTTACCTACTAATTCGAAATGAGCAGGTTTGGAAAAACAGTTGCTTGTTTCCGATATGCACCAGTCAACGTTCACTCTGTTTATCTTCCTCCTTCAAAACTTGATTTTAACTACCAACATCAGGAGTGGATCCAAAAAGAAGCTGATGAGGTCTGTTTCTTAGCCAGTCAAGTTATTGTTACCAGATTCTTCCCGCTGAATCTCATTATATTATCCTAATGCAACAGGTTGCTAAGGATGCTGAGCTTTTATTTAAAGAGGTGCTCAACAAACTGCGTCAAATTGCAGCGAGTGGATTTAACACTGGTTCTTGTGATGAAAATGTGAAGGTTCTGGAATCAAGATCCGTCTTTGCTGAACTTGAAGGGATACTGCAGAATGAGAAGGCAGAGTTTGAGGTAAAGTATCATGACATCTCTTCCTTCATATTGGTGTGATGGTGGTGTTGCTTTTCAGCAGTCAACCTGATTGAGGTACTTCCTGATTTCAGGATTCCCTGCAGAAAGTAGCTAATAAAGAAGCAAAGAAGGGACAGCCTCGTATTGATATTCTTGAGATCAATAAGTTACGTAGACAGTTACTATTCCAATCATATTTTTGGGATCAACGCTTGGTATGTGCTGCTAATGTTGGTCATCATCGAGAAGTTATTGGTGGCATTAGCACCAGATCCAAAGAGAAGCTTGGCTCTATGGATAAGCTATCTGATTCGACTTTAATTTCTCCTAAGCCACTGAAAGGCTTTCATAGTTTAGATGCCTTACCTTCTTATTCAACAAACAAGGATCCGTTGAAAATGCCTCTGAGCGACAATCAGGAAAGTGAGCATCATGACCAGACTCTGATGGCTCAGGAGAAAAGAGATGTCGAAAATGATCCTTTATATAGAAAACATAGCAAAGCATCTAGCATAAGTGCAATTGACCAATTGGATTCAGTTGAATCTGGGTTGCCGCCTGTTCGTAGAATTCACTCTGATGTACAGTTCCCAGCTATGGAAGATTTATCTGACACCCTGGATGCTAAGTGGAGAGGTGAAAATGGCCCTAATGTTGTTGAATCCAGCACCTCGAACTCATTGTCTGCCACAGAAGCCACATCTCTTTCAATAGATTGTGAAGAAAAGAGGGGAACTGATGTTTCCAGATCATTGTCTTCAATACAGCATACAAGTATTGAGGATGGTGCAGTGAGTTTCCCTAGCTTGATTGGGACACCATTTTCAAACTTCTATCGTTCCATCAACAAGGAGGAGAATGCTTCAAAACTTGATGCTCTCAATGAGTATAGTCCTGTTTATATCTCTTTGTTCAGGGAGTTAGAGCGCCAAGGTGGAGCAAGATTGTTGCTGCCTATTGGAATTAATGACATCGTCATTCCGGTTTATGATGATGAACCAACCAGTGCTATTTGTTATGCGCTTGTGTCACCTGATTACAATTCTCAGATGTCAGAGGAGCGGGAGAAAGTGAAAGATATCAGTGATTCTTCATTTACATTGACGATATATGATTCAGGGAATTTTCACCCGTTTCAATCTGTTGATGACATGTCCTTGATTTCGGATCCACTTACATATACTAAAGCTCTTCATGCTAGAGTTTCATTTTCTGGTGATGGGCCTCTTGGTAAAGTAAAATATACGGTTACCTGTTATTATGCGAAGCGCTTTGATGCACTCCGGAGATCTTGCTGTTCATCTGAGGTTGATTTTATACGATCTCTCAGTCGCTGTAAGAAATGGGGAGCACAGGGAGGCAAGAGCAATGTATTTTTTGCAAAATCATTGGATGACAGGTTTATCATTAAACAGGTGACAAAAACAGAGCTGGAATCTTTTATTAAATTTGCTCCAGAATACTTCAAATATCTTTCAGAATCTATAAGAACGGGGAGCCCCACGTGTCTGGCAAAAATTTTGGGAATATATCAGGTATTACTTGTTCATTCTTTAAAACTTATTTCTTGTGTCTTTGAGAGGAGCCGTAGTGACAACATCAACACTTTTCTTTTCTCCAGATGTGTGTTAAAGCTTTCTCCATTAGCATGTTCTTTAGGTTTGTTGGAGCCCATCAATTTTTTGTCCCCAACCTGAGTCAGTTATTTATTCCATGATGTTGTTCCTTAGGAGTGACAAAAATAATCTCGTTGTTAGAGATCTGAATCAGACTTAAGAACTTGAGAATATCAATCATTGAAGGGGGTTTAGATGTGAGGAAAGCTAAAAGTTCAATCTTTTAGTCACATTCTCTGCTTCCAATAATTTAAAAAATCAAAGTGATGCTGTTTAAAGCTGTAGCATAGTCTTCTTCAGGCCATGGTAACAGCAAAAACAACAGCAAAGCTTTTATGCCAAAATTTTGAGGTCGCCTACCCATGGTACTATGTAGATAATATTTACTTTGACTTCAGCGAAACTTTAGTTAGCTGATAAAATAAATGTGACATCGGTTGCTGCCGGTCGTGCAGTTTACATGGCTATATTTGATCAGATTTAGCTACAACTTGGTGACACATGATTTATTTCTTTTTTGTTTTGTCTTTTCGTTCAGGTCTTGCATTTTTTTTTTTTTGGTTCTGATTCTATTACAATAAGGAGTGACACATCTTTCTTTCTGTTAATGTTTAGATTACTAAGAGCATGAAGGGAGGAAAGGAATCAAGAATTGATGTTCTGGTGATGGAGAATCTTTTGTTTGGACGGACTGTGACTAGGCTTTATGACCTTAAGGGATCTGCAAGGTCACGGTACAATGCAGATTCAAGTGGTAAGAACAAAGTACTACTTGATCAAAACCTGATCGAGTCCATGCCAACTTCTCCAATCTTTGTTGGAAACAAAGCTAAGCGGCTTTTGGAGAGAGCTGTTTGGAATGATACTGCTTTTCTTGCGGTGAGCAGAATAAACTGTCATGTTGTTTTTCTTGATTGTCAATTCTCCTTTGGTTCCTTAAGTGCATGACTTCATAATTTTGGTGTATGGTTTTCGCTTTTCAAATAATTACAATGGCTATAAGTACAAAATAATTAAAGCTTCATCAATTATCTCTTCAATATGGAAACTCAAAATTTCTACAGTTTTTTCATGTGAACAAATATATTTTGAAACTATTTTTATCTTTTGCACTTTGTTTATAGTTATAGGATATATGAAGCGTATCAGTGTACGAAAAGATCCTTTCTTGTGTCAATGCATTGTGTACTCGAATATACTTCCTGTCATATCCTGAAACTTGTGATATTATGTGGCAGATACATATTCTTGACACATTAGGTCCAAGTGCAAAGAATTTAAAATGTAGTATTGAAGGGAGAAGATTCATGATTCACTGAGAACTACTTTTATATTATTTTTAATTCTTTGTCACAAGATAAATTGAGATTGTTCAAGAAAAGAGATTATGCAAGTATTATCCTAAATTTCCAAGTAAGGGTGTCTATCTTACTATTTTTTGAAAGAAAGTTATTTGAGGGTCCAAGTTTTTATATCTAAAATTTGTGTTATATCTTTTGTTATTCAAATTTTATATGATAATATCTAAATAGAAAACTAATGCTTATATCTTTATGTATGTTCGCAAGATGATGCATCCTTGACATGCTGTATCTTAGCTTTTTAAGATCACTTAATCTCCTTGTCCATGTTGCATCACATCAAACCTTGCATGTGGGAAACAAATCATTTTTCCTTTTGGAGACTAATGTAAGTCATTGTTTCTAGGTTTATGATATTATAATCTTATGTCCAGTGCTTTGTTTCTAGGCGTGTATTGTTTCTATGATGTAGGTTTGTGGTTGAATATTGCTCTTCTTTCTGCATCCTACACTTTGTATATTAATATTTATTTCGCACTTCAATTCTGATATCTTTGTTATATTGTAGTCCGTAGATGTGATGGATTACTCTCTACTAGCTGGGGTCGATGAGGAAAAACATGAGCTAGTACTTGGGATCATTGATTTTATGAGACAGTATACATGGGACAAGCACCTAGAGACATGGGTAAAGGCTTCAGGTATTTTGGGCGGCCCAAAAAATGAACCTCCGACTGTAATATCACCAAAACAATACAAGAAGCGCTTTAGGAAAGCAATGTCTGCATATTTTCTTGTTGTTCCGGATCAGTGGTCATCTTCTACTATTATCCCCAGCCCATCACAATCTGAAATTGTTGATGATGCTCAAAATCCATAACTCTGTATATTTTCTCAGTTGTAAGTCTGAAATCCTCCACATTTTGTATTTTGTTTCTCTTAAAAATTTTTTACTTATTTTTTAAACAACAGTTTCTTGATGTCAGCTTCATTTCTATCATGGCATTAGACAAGGCTGGGCATGATATTTTCAAATAGGCCGTAATGTTAGATGTACTCGCTGACCCATCCAAATAAGTTCATGTCTGTAACTGTATGACGTGTATATAAATCGATATCCTTGTTTTCAAATGTTCAGTATATTTATTCTCAACTTCATACTCTTTGGTGCTTGTGCACAAATCAGGTGAAGTCGGTGCCCTGCTGATTTGATTCTTGTGTTCTTGTTATGCCTTTAAGGCTAGGTCAATGTAGAATTCCTTCCAGTATACCTATCCTTGTGGTTTGTCATACCCCTGATTTGTGAATATAAAACAGAGCTAATGGCGAATAAAACACCATGTTTTAGACCCACATTATTTGACTTAGAGATAGTCAAATAGATAGTTGTAAAAATTAGGAAAAGATAGGTTCTGAGCATGTTTAAAATTTTAAATAGAGGAAGTGCTCCGCCTCTACCGCTTCCTCTTTTTATTATACAACAATAAGCTTTCTTGGAGTAATATCTCCGCTGCATGTATCTCATTATTCATTATCATCATCCAAACGCTTTGGCCATTGGCGGCTAGTTCTGAAAATTTTGTCATCATAAGCCCTGAGTTAAGCTTCTATATGATCACGCTACGATAATGCTCTTACTAGTGTGTGGCTGCTGGAGGCTAGATTATACCAAGGAGGTATAGTTATTAGTAGTTGTTTATGAGGTACGTTCGGTTTTAGATCCTCTTACATTGTGTTGAGGCAGAGACGTGTTCAGACCGATGAAACGTATTGCTACGCGCGAGAAATTACATGAGCTCCAGTAGATTATGGCGCAATTGAATGACCTAAGTTCGGGGCGCAATCGCCTAAATTTTGTAGTGAACATTCTAGCATGTGCCTGTAAGAGAAATAAAAAAGGCATTAGCATTACATATGATCGTAAATCCTTATAATTACACATTGTGAGGAGAAAGCTGACGAGTTTCTCATGCATTATATAGGAGAAACCAACCAGCATACAACATGGACAACAACCCTAGCTAGCGGAACCCTTCTCTTTCTTTTTTTTTCTTCTTATATTACACCAAATCTATCGGAGACTGTCATTAGTTCTGATCTTGAAGGATTTGGAACCATCTTTGTGTTAGAAAATCCGGAATCTGTAGTTCTCCACACCTGCATAAAATAGGAGGGGGAAAAAAAGGAATAAATGGACCATCTACGATTTGCAAATTTCATCTGCTAGGAATTATGCCTACCTCTGATGATAAGTCTTGTGTGATGGGTGTGGGATTAACCGGGGGCCTTCGTCGTATCCCTCGCAGATGAGCTCCCCCTTGCTGTCTCTGTAGCAGACTATCCCCTTCGCCTGATCCTCGAAAACCTGGCACGGGGAATTTTAGGACTCATGAATCTGGTCAAGCAATGGTTTTGTGTGAGGGAACTCACCTTGATGGCCAAGGGTGCTTTGATTAAAGATGCTGATACTTTGATCGGTTGTATGTTGCTGTTGTGAACCGTGAGAGCTCTGCCTGCGTTCTTCTTTCTTTGGACACGTGGAATGATAATACTATAGGAAGCGCATATGATTGCCATTGAAGAAGAAGGAGAAAGAAAAGAGAGAGAGAGAGAGAGGAAATAGAAGTTGGGGGCTGAGTCATGTTAACATAGGATAGAGATGATAAAGAGGGTAGAGAGGGTGAGTTGTCTTATCATTAATAGTTTTTTTTTTTTTTTTTGGATAGAGATGATAAAGAGGGTAGAGAGGGTGAGTTGTCTTATCATTAATAGTTTTTTTTTTTTTTTTTGATCTATCATTGAGCCCCATCATCTCATTTTTATAATGGCTTTCGTTTTATTAGACTATGAAGTTATGATTGTCTGATTGGTTGGTGGGTCTACTCCAATGTCACATAGTTATTAGCTCATTAATTAGCATTATCTTTGAATAATTTAATCCAGTTTTGCTTCGGAGTGCTATCGTCAAATGCCGATCATATCAACTATAAATAAAATTTCTTGACCGTGCCTTGCCCACGATACGGACGGGCTTCGAGGCTCATAGTGGGAGGTGCTGATGACGCATCCACCGCACTCACGTTTTGGCATTGGTTGTTCAACTTACCATTTACAAGCTCAGTTTGTACCATCAGCCATGTGCGGTTGCCGACTGAGCCAGATGGGGGGAATTTGTTGCTGTTCATAGTTATCCAAACACCACGTATAATAACATTAAAAAAGAGTGAAAATGTATGTAGTCCAAATTTGCAAGTCATGTCCATCGCGGACATGTGAAGGGTGCATGTCACCTGCCCTTCGGTACTAAAAGCAGAGGGCGAGATCCAATTGTTTCAATGTGGTTGGTGAACTTTATGACTTAGTCTGTGTTTTGATGACTTTTCTGTTAAGGATTTTTTTAGGTACGGATCATCCGGAGTCTATGTATCTACACTTAGGGTGCGTTTGTTTTTACGTTTTTTGCTTGGGGAGGGGGGCGGAAAGCTGCCAATGTGGCAGCTTTCTCTTTTGGGGAGAAAGCTGCCACATTGGCAGTCTGCCCCCCTCCCCAGGCAAAAAATTTTTACCAAACGCGTCCTTACACTTACACGGGTGATTTCAGAATTACGTTACGACTGGGCCACGGTGGTAATAATTACCGGGCGACCCGAAGATTAGCGATGCTAGGGTTACCGATGTAGCCTCAACCGGTAGCATCAGGATTGTTCCGTGTAGGTGCGGTGGACCCCGAAGTCACCTGTGCCATTACGCTGTATTCGCAGGGTGCCAAGTGCAAATAATCTTTTGTAAAAATGGGCTGCTAACTTTATTTCCACGCTACGCGTCAGTAAGTATTTTTGGTTAATTCCCTCGAGTGTTCGTGCATTATTACCGGGTGTCTCCGTAGCCTTCGGTTTGGGCTTTGCAATTTCAGCATTTTGAATGGAGCTAAATTTCAAGCCCAGCCTAGAGGACAAAATTTCAAACCGACCTATTTTGAATTTTATTCCAAAAAAAATACATTTCAAACTTAATTTTAAAAACCGACACAGTTGGGTTGAAACTGGGTCGGTTTTTTTAAAAAAAAATTTCCAAACTTCACGGGAGTTGAAGTATCGTGAAGTTTTTTATATAACAAAACTTCACGGGATTTTAATTCCCGTGAAGTTTAGGAATTTTTTTTTTAAAAACCGACCCAATTTTAGCCTAACTGGGTCGGTTTTTGAAATTAAATTTGAAACAGTTCTTTTTTTAGGAATGTTTTAGTAAACAGGTTGGTCTTGAAAATTTGTCCTAAAAACCACATTGTTTGACAAACTAAAAATTAAGAATATCAAAAAAAAATTATTTGAACAACACGGAATGTACAAGTCATGAATATATCATTTCAGATCTTAGAGTTTGTGCCTCGACCTCATTGAAGGTTAGCGTAGCATGCCTCGCTTTTTATTATATCATATCATTGCGATCAGTGAAGAACAGAAACGTCTTCCTCTATTCTTAAGGGCTAGTCTTCCTCTATTCTTAAGGGGTAGACGCCAATGGTATTGTGTTTTGTTGTGATAATTTGATGGGTGATCAAGAAATTCTAAATCGCATAATTTTTTTCATGATGTTGTTTTAAGAGATGGGCATTAAAATTAAGGGTGAATTAGACGAAACCCACGTTAACTTCTAGTGTTTTGCAGTAAACCCTACGAATTTTTAAAATCGCACTAAACTCCCAATAACTTTTGTAGAAAACACCTGACGTCTTTTGGGTAAATAATACTAAACACACAATCACTTCCAAAATGCATTTTTATGTTTGTTTCTTGTTCTAATTTATGGGGTTTATTTGCAAAATGAACAAACTTATTGGAGATTTATTGCAAAACAAGAAAGTTAATAGAGATTAAGTGTGATTTTGAAACTTCATAGGGGTTTAGTGCAAAACGCTGAGTGCTCACGATGCAGTATGGTGTAATTTCTCCTAGACTTAAGTGTTTGATGGTTTGGAGAAGCTTAACACAGCTATTATGATTTGACCCGATCAGAAAAAAAAATCAAGTTATTGTTTTAAAAGCAAAGTAATCAGGTAAAAACTAGTAGTTTATCACAAAAGTGGTTTCTTTTTGTTAGTACGTAATAACATCTTGTGATCCCTGATTAACACTTCAGAATCTACGCTTAGCCAAAGTTTTGGGGGTTAATTGAAAACAACTAATGAGAGTTGAAGGATCTAATAACAATTTCAACTCTTCACCTCATGATTAAGATATAAAGTCGCGTTTAATGGGAATTGGGATCGGCCGTTGGAGGATCCACAGAGACAACGAGCAGAGTTCTCACTTTTCTTAATGGGTGTTGGGTTAATATTTTTTTGGGCTTTTGGATTTGAGTTAGTGTCTGGGCTTAGGCCTGGTGAATTTCACATGAATTAAATCTAATAGGCTACCCTTACAAATTTGGGGGCAGAGTTTATAAATTTTACAAGGTTAAAACGGTAATAAAAATAAAAGTTTAGGGGTGGAGTTGGTATATGAAATAAAGCAGACAATGTATAATATGAAAATATTGCTGGAAAGAGCCGGAAAAAAGAAAAGAAAAGTGGCAAAATTAAATCTAACTCAAACTTGATTTAAATAAAATGACCGCTTATTATTTGAAATCAGATTTAATTGAAAAAAACCAAACTAAGTTTAACACCTTTGACTCTTAAAAAAAAATTTATACTTACTGAGCCTAAGTATAATGAGACCACTGATCTTGTTTAATGTGTAAATAATCAACTGACACCCAGAGTTCAGACATAAATGACGTAGTAACAATATGGAAGAAATCCCGTCTCGTGATTGTTATTTAAAAAAAAAAAGATTTGGGGTGTGTTTTATAAATATGAAATACTTGAGGGCCCTGTATACAATTAAGAAAGAGGTTAGGATCTATATGACAAAAACCCAGGAAAAAAACTCCCGAGAACAGTCACTTGCAAAGATCCAGCCCTAGGGTTCTCTCTCTCTCTCTCTCTCTCTCACGTCGCTTCTCTCTCTAGCGTTCAGACGTCCGGCGAGGCGACGAGATCAGCCTCCTATATTTTTCTCGGCGAGGTGATCTCAGCCTCCTCTGGCGACGATTGGAGGTAAGATCTCTTAGAAAGTTAATTCTTTTTTGTTGATTTTGATCTATCCTAGTTGCAAATTGTGGATTTGTTTCCGAATCTGTCTCTGGAACTGAGCGGGGTTCTATTTGCGGTGGAATTAATAATTACACGATTTATTAAAATCTTTGCGAATAAAACCACACGTTTTAACGTCTACTTCATCACTAATAAATTTGAACTAAAAATTATTTGAAGTATACGCCCCCCATAGAAAATGACTTCTTTTTTGCTTGCACTTTGGCATGCAGATTCAAACATTACATTTAGGTAATTCTATGTATCATAAGATATGGTACCACGTCGAGAAAATTTCTAATTAGATGACTTGCAACTTTTGTATGTTTTGATATCTCATAAAGTCCGTGGACAGGGGAAATGGAGCATCCAGAGGATGAACGTGTATCTGGGGAGCAACATGGTAAACAAGATAATGAGGTAATTTTATTGAACATGAATTCGCCATGTCATCGTGAGTCGGTAATTCAAAAGTTTCTTTCACTTTTTACCTTGCAGGAAAATGTTGCTCGTCTTGAGGAATATAAAAGATCTATTGAGATGAAGCTCTCTCTACGGCATGACAATCTGAATCCTGAAAGGCCTGGTAAGTCCGCAGTGGAAACTTTCTGTATGAATATGTTATTCTTTGCAGAACTATGATTTCAAATTTGTTGGAGATTTTGTGTATGATAAGTTCACAATTTGGAATGCAATTGTTAAGTAGACAGGTCATTAAGTGGACTGTTCATGGTTCTGAAGAGAACAGTTGACAACTTGCATCTTTGGGCATTACGGTGTCTTTTTTTAAAGCTTTTTTTTATAGATATGCTTACGATAAGTTGTCATGCATTTTTTAATTGAAGATTGATAACAATGCTAAAAACACAAGGATCCTTTTACAGGAGATTGTTTGCATATGTTTCCACATGTTTGCTTGCCGTAAAATCTGTATGAATACCAATTCCTATGCAGGAGTGCTTCTCTTGGATTTATCACACTCTTCATTCTTTGTTAAAAATTGATCACAAGTTTATTGTTTTCCACTAGAATCTGGGCTATATATTTGGTGTACTGTTATTTGTTTGTTTGTTCAGGGAGTTCACTATGTACTGCCTTAAAGCAATATCTCCTTATCCTTCATGATAAACGCCGTTCCTTGGTTGAAGAAACAAATCTATAAGGAATTGATGGCAAGATCTCTTATATCTTCCTAGTTTTATTCATATAATACACGTACACACATGTGCGCGCACGCACACATATCCATCTACTTTTTCAGCTGTCCTTCTGTCTGTGAACGTATGATATATGGGTGAGGTTATAACCGTAACTTAAGTGTTTACACCTACCTATGGAAACACATGGTTGGACATTTGAGATTCAAATTAACAGTCCAAACCGTGCACTGTGATATACCCATCTTCCACGAGAAACAAAAGTTGGCTGGATTTAAAATGTCTGCAATACACATCTTCAAATCTAAAAATGTATGGTTATGGCCCTAAAAGAGGATTATTTGAAGTTGTTCTATTTGTAGCATACAAAGTCCAAACCATCAAATTTTTTATCCTCTAATGTTTGATGATTTGCAGTTCAGACTGGATAGTTTGAAATAACTTTGAATCATTAATATGGATATCCCCAAAGTTTTATAGGCAGATGTAAACTCTTTAGTTGCATTATATATTCTCATCTTCACACGGGTGTTTGCGCACAAAACATGCGTAAATAAATACATATGCATTGCTTAGCATTGTGTCCACAATTTTTTGAAGTGGTACCTCTTTTCCAGATTCTGGTTTTCTCAGAACACTAGATTCCAGTATCAAGAAAAATACGGCTGTCATTAAGAAGCTTAAGCAAATAAATGATGAACAAAGGGAAGGGTTGATGGATGAATTACGAAGCGTTAACTTAAGCAAGTTTGTTAGTGAAGCCGTAGCAGCCATATGTGATGCTAAGCTTAAAACTTCAGACATTCAAGCTGCTGTGCAGGTAATATACGATTTATGTTGCTCTTGTTGATTGCTTTTGAGTTTACAGAGGATGTACAGTTTACCTTGATTTTCCTGCCTAAGCTTTTCATCTTTAGGACAGTGCTCTGTGAAATTTCAAACTGAAGTCTATCAATTTATTTGCCATTTTGAATGGATCATCATGGTTTCTTATCGTCTATATTCTTTGATTGGATGCGGATATATACTTACTGCTCGGGTCTATTTGTTGATACTTCCTTGAATACTAGGGGTGAGCCTTCAATTTAAACCTAAGTGCGCACAGAAATATCATTTCTACTAATCGAGAGCATACCGTGTTAGTGAGGTGCTTGAATAAGCTTCTCACATTGTAATCGGTTCTTTTTCTATCTCAAGTCTTCTGATATGATTTTTTTCCTGCCATCAATCCCTTATATTCGTTGTTGTTTTCTCCTTTAGAGCCTTCTAGCTGAATACAGACTCTGATTTTTTTTCTTTTGTACATTTCCTTAGAAAACAATGAACTTACCGAACCATCTTGACCAATTTCTATTTTTCTTAGTATTACCTTTTTGATTTTTCTTTATTTAGATCTGCCTATTTCTAACTCTTAAGGTACAGCTCTTTGATACCTCCTGCTTGGTCTCCCTTTTTATCTTTCTTGGTGTTCATTATTTTGTAGATAACTGATTGGTGGTAGGTCCCTGTTCCTTTGGCTATTCTCCTCGTTATATTCATCCTTTGCCTATTCATTTAAATATGCACATGTTTCATTTTTTTTGAGATATAATCCCTCAATGTAAATTATATTATATTACATCAAGAATTTAATCAGATCTCATGAAGAATCTTCTAGTATTCTGCCACTTAAAAGTTGATACAAACATTCTGCAGAAAAAACTAAGAGGCTCTTAAAAGTTATATATATGTTTAAAAGGGAGGGAAGATTGTTAGCCGTTAATTTAAACCAAATAGTTTTGATAATGTAGTTTTCAAAAAGTCATGAAACCCCATTAAAAGTTCTTCTTGGATGTTCACTTGGTGCAACCAGGTATTACATGTATCTATTTCTTCTAAGTTTTATATCTGATCCAGTTGCTGCCTGAGGGCTCCAATCCTCCAACACAATAGTGCCTTCAACCTAGCTGCCTTGGAGTGCCACTGTATCTGTACTGTTTCATTGAGGGCTACACCTCGATATTGATAGCAATGCCCATTTCTTGGAGCCCTTTTAGATAACTTGCTTGTTGAAGGAGCTCATGCATTCCTTCCTATTTCCTACAGTTGTACCCGCAATAATTAAAAAACTATGCACACGGCTTGTCCCAAGTCCAACAACAGAGCTAAAGAGGAAGATGTTTGCTAACTATAAGCTAATCCAAAGTAGTTCTTAGTTTGTCCTCAATATCAATGGCAATTCTTAGGAGATTTGGTTGACTGGTGTCTTGGAAAGAACTGTGGTTCTTTCTAAAGGCGCAGATTATGACCACCTGTTCTCATGTAAACCGCTACTTGAAGCATAAAAGTGTTAGTACTGTTTACTATGTTCCTTTATGTAATTGACGTCAACTATATTTCTGCAGGAAAGATAATTAGATATTTTAACTGAGTGCAGCCCTTTTTCTTGCTTTTCCTTGTCATCAGGTGTGCTCTTTGCTTCATCAGAGGTACAAAGAGTTCTCCCCATGCCTTGTGCAGGGCCTCTTGAAAGTTTTCTTCCCTGGAAAATGTGCTGAAGAGCCTGAGGCAGATAAAAGTTTGAAGGCAATGAAGAAAAGAAGCACTTTGAAACTTCTTATTGAACTTTATTTTGTAGGAGTTATTGAGGATGCGGGCATATTTGTAAATATTGTCAAGGATCTTACCAGCTTGGAACATTTAAAAGACCGTGAATCAACACAGACAAACTTGTCGATTCTTGCCAGCTTTGCTCGACAAGGCAGAATTTTCTTAGGACTTCATCAGCCTGGACAAGAAGTAAATGATGAGGTAGTGACAATTTTTTGTTGTAGTTAGAGCATTAGTCATTTGCATGCACCGGTGCACGTACAAGATTTATTGTTGTGCTACTAGATTTTATGTCAAAATTTTTGAAGAGAATTCATCATTTTTGAGGCGTTTGGATCGCCTTAAAAAAATTTCTAAGTCGATGCATGTGTTGAGTTTCCAAGTTCATTAAGTGTGCCACAGAGTAAAGTTGTTGCGTGAATTTCAAAGCACAAGTAGTGGACAGGTTAAAAATTTCTTTCAGTTAATCTTTCTGAACTCACACTCTTGTCTGAGCAAAGCATGTACCTCAAGTTGTGTTATTGATGTTTTATTGAGATATTTATTCATATTTGGCATCTTCTTTGCATGGGTAAAGCGTTGATTTTTGTTTTGATAGTAATGTTACGAATATATCTTTATTTTCTCTGTTGACTTGCTTTGTTTGATCAGTTCTTCAGAGGCCTTAACGTCACAGCTGATCAGAAAAAGATATTCAAGAAAGCATTCCACTCATATTATGATGCTGTTGCTGAACTCCTTCAATCTGAGCATTCTGTAAGTTGATATTGGTGTTGCTTCTTTGACCAACTGAGGCTTACACTTGTTTCCCTTCACTGCAGAACTTTTCATTTTTCTTTCCTTTTGATGTTGCAAACCTTCAATCTCCTAGTTGTATCTTACAATTTAATGATATCATAATTTGAATTATAAATGTGGCAGTCTCTCCGATTGATGGAACTTGAAAATGCAAAGATATTAAATGCTCGAGGGGAGCTCAATGATGAGAATTTGACTTCATATGAAAAGCTGCGCAAGTCGTATGACCATTTATTTCGTGGAGTATCTTCGTAAGTCCTCTTTTGTGCCTAATTTTTCTGGTCCAAAGCCTACTTCCCTCTATCTGACTTTCGGCCAAATACCACATGTTGCATATTACGATGTTCTGAATAGTTGGGACCTGTTTAAAGAAGTCTGTCTTCTAAAATCAATGACTAAGATGATATTTAAAGCAACGATCATTGGTATATAATCTCAAGCTTTTATAAGTTTTTGTATGGTTTAGAGGCATTAGTCCAACCTCTGGAGTTTGGACCCTGAAAGAGGTTTGCTTTCCTTCCGTTCGAGGTACAAGGTGTTCGAGGTGCAAGTTGTTGTTTCCTCTTCTTTATCTTAGTGATGCGTGTCCTGTTTCACGGAGATCGTTCTTCACTGACCCATATTAGTTACTGACTTGCATACTGAAGTGCCTAGAGCACTTGCTAACTTCCACATCGATGTAAGGTGCTCTTATTTTTCAATAAGACTTGAGTAGTTCTTGTAGCCATGTTTCAGATATACAAAAAACAAATCTTCCCACAAAATTATTATTTCAAAAACCACATAAAGTTGGCGATGACATATTCGGGTATTATTTTTCCTTTACCCTTGAAGATGGCGTTTCTAAACAATGTTCCACATTTTTTTTTGATGCATTGAGCACTTACAAACTTCGATACTGATGTGCGTATGTCCTTTTTTCCCAAATAGCTTTGAGTAGTTCTCATAACCATGTTTCTGATATATAAAAGACAATTACTTCCACAATTATTACTTCAGAAACCACATAAAGTTGACATATTCGGGGATATTTTTTTCTTTACTCTTGAAGATGGTCCGTCTAAACAGTTTGCTGCAACTTGTTTAATGCTTTATGGCCAATATCGCCATGGATTGGTGTTGTTATATGTTTCAAAGTAATTTGGTAATCCCAATATACACTGTTTCTTCAGTAGGCCTATTGTTCCAGTAGGGCTGTTGCATTTTTCCCCCTTCTTGGTTGTTCTATTCTTTGCCCTAATACCAAAATTTGACAACTGACATTTTGTGGTTCGAAGAGAAAACCTCCCATTAACGAGATGTTATTTATTATGTCTGTTTTACCCCCTGTTATTACATATGGTTATTTGGTTTACTTAGTTATTTCTTTTATATGGCAGTCTAGCAGAGGCCCTTGATTTGCAACCTCCTGTAATGCCAGATGACGGGCATACAACAAGGGTTACCTCAGGAGCTGATGTTCCATCTGCTTCTGGAAAGGAATCTTCAGTTCCTGAACCTATATGGGATGATGATGATACAAAAGCTTTCTATGAGTTTTTACCTGATCTCAGGTTTGTCTGGAGTTTAAGTTCAATTGTCATATTTCTTCCTACATTTGACCACTTCATATTATTTAACCCGGGCATGTGATTCTAAGAGGGTTCTTAAGAAATAGAAATTTTTTGTTGATTGCTACTGTTGATTGCATGTTCAAATTTGTTTCATCCAGAGCGTTTGTTCCTGCTGTGTTACTGGGGGAAGCAGAACCAAAACTCCATGATCAACCTCCAAAGACCCAAGAAGTAAGTTTGTGATGGCCTCAATGTAGTGCTTAGTTTTGTTTTTATCTTGGAGATTTCTGTAAATGTACTTCCTTAATTCTATTTTGAGGTTTCAAAAGATTTATCTGGTCAACTTTGCAATCTATGTCACATGCTGCCGATTATATAGTATACCCGTTAAGTATTGTTTGTTCTCTGAAATACTCATGGGTGCTTCCAAACTTCTTTATACATGTTTGATCTATTTGGCTATTGTGCTTATCTCCTACTATCTGACTTTAGTTAGTATTAGGTTGTGCATGCAGTTCCTAATTGAAAAACCATACCTGTCTGCCATTCTGTCATCTTTTGGTATGAAAAACCATACCTGTCTGGCATTCTGTCATCTGTTTGTATGGAAAATGTTAATTCCACTTTCACTACTTGTAGAAAATATCAGTATTTATCTAAATTATTCCTTTTGTCCATGTATTTTTGTTTTCTTATTTAAGTAACTCTGCAGTCATACTGTCTTTTCCTTTCTTTATCAATTAATTTCCAATTATTATATTGTCAAAGGAATCTGCTCCGGAACCACAAGACACGGAAGTGCATGGCATTGCAAGTTCTGCTGCCGACACAGAATTGTCAACAGAGGGGAAAGCAGAGGAAAAAGCAAAGGATAAGGAGGAGAAAGAGAAGGAGAAAGGCAAAGACTCTGACAAAGAAAAACAAAAAGAGAAAGAGAAAGATACTGAGAAAAAGGGAGAAAGTGAGAAGGAGAAAGGTAAACCATTGGATGGGACTAGCTTGGATGCTCTGCTGCAGAGGCTTCCAGGCTGCGTAAGCCGTGACCTTATAGATCAGTTGACGGTAATTGCCAGTAGCTTTTCTCTGGGTCACTCATTTGCATTTTGTTTTTGAACTGGTTTGATCGTTGCGTAATTTTTTCTTACTGAAAATAAAAGGCTGTTTGCAGGTAGAATTCTGCTACCTGAACTCAAAAGCGAATCGAAAGAAGCTAGTGCGAGCCTTGTTTAATGTCCCAAGAACTTCATTGGAGTTGTTGCCCTACTATTCTCGTTTGGTTGCTACATTGTCGACATGCATGAAAGATATTCCAACATTACTTTTGTCAATGCTTGAAGAGGAATTTAACTTTTTGATCAATAAAAAGGTTTATTTGAGATTTTGTATAATTACTTGAGATATCTGTTTTAAAGATGGTGGACTACGTTCAGTGGTTTTCTCTTGAATTATTGGTATTGTTACTTACTTGATTTGTTGTTTTCAGGATCAAACAAACATTGAAACAAAGATAAAGAACATCAGATTTATTGGAGAGCTATGCAAATTCAAGATTGCGCCTGCAGGTCTTGTTTTTAGTTGCCTAAAGGTATAGATCTTTGGAAACTTGGTCTCTATGTTGGTTTTGTAGAGAGTCCTGCACTGCATCTTTAACTGCTTTTGCAGGAACCCATCCCCAAAACTTCGCACTGTGTCTTTAACATGCCACTTTTTTATTCACAAGCCTTTTCTGTTTTTCAGCCTTCAGGATTTAGTTTAACAGTTTACTTTGTTTGTATTTTGTTCTTTTGTTTTTTTTTCTTTTGTTTTTTTTTTCTTTTTTGGCTCTGATGGATTCTCATGCGGCTAGTATCTCATGCACCTGGTGGTTCATTATCCTGACATGCACCATCTGGACTGCCGCTTTGTTTAGCTATAATCCTTCTATCCGCCTTCTATGGCCCTACAGTGATACCTAATGATGCTGTGTCATCTGCAAGATGGACCAAATTTTTTGCTTAATTTTTTCCTGTCACTTTCAAAATACCATCTATATGGTACAGAATGCCATCTATATTACCATATTAACCTTTACAACTTGTGGAGACTGATTTATTATAACATGCAGGCCTGTTTGGATGACTTTAATCATCACAACATTGACGTAGCTTGCAACCTTCTTGAGACATGCGGACGATTTCTATACCGTTCACCTGAAACAACAATTCGCATGGGAAATATGCTAGAAATACTGATGCGTTTGAAAAATGTCAAAAATTTGGATCCACGTCATAGTACTTTGGTAGAAAATGCGTACTACTTGTGCAAACCGCCTGAACGATCTGCTAGGATTTCAAAAACTCGTCCTCCCCTGCATCAGGTTCGACATCTACTTCTCATCTTTTAACTTTCTTTCTACTGTTGAGATTATAGTGTAATATTCACATTTTTGTTTATTGCAGTATATCAGAAAGTTGCTTTTCTCAGATCTTGATAAGTCCTCAGTTGAGCACGTCCTTAGGCAACTAAGAAAATTACCTTGGAGTGAATGTGAACCGTACTTGTTGAAGTGTTTTCTAAAGGTTCACAAGGGCAAATACAGTCATGTGCATCTGATTGCTTTTCTCACTGCAGGCCTTAGTAGGTACCATGACGAATTTGCAGTAGCAGTTGTGGACGAGGTCGGTTTTTGTTTTATTTTGTTTAAGTTAATGTCTTTATGTATAGTGTAGTCTAGGGTGTAATTATTGCCTCAAATAACAACTCTTACAATTGCTATACCTTCGCCTTCCTACGATCCTGGATAACTTTCTTTCTAGATCATATATGAAACTAATATCCAATAAATATGGCACTGGATTGCCCCTGTTCTATGGCCCCCGTCTAATTTATTATTGCCTAATAGAATACTGGTCATAATGAACAAAGAATGGAGTGTTAACGTGTTACTAGAGGAATCACTGTAAAAAAGAGAGTTTTGCATGACATTTCGGGATAGTGTTTTTGACATATTTTATCTCTATTGGTAGTTCTGCTTGCTTTGAGATAAACTTTGCAGCATATATACTGTGATGTTTTCTTTTTCATTTTTTAGTGATAAAGGTGATGTTGTCTTTTGAAATGCTTAGGAATGATGATCCGTCGCTTCACTTGATCTCTTTCCATTTCAAACAATGATGGATAATTTTGTTCGATTTTTGTCTTGCAACAAGAAGACTTAACTACAAAAAAGCATAACCAATTGCTGAGTTGTGGTTGTATTTATGGATGGTAATAATTCCTCTAAGCAAAGTCCTTAAAACAGGGTCTACACATCTTTGTTTATCCATTTTGTGATTCTTTTTGATATTCCATGGCGTCATGGCATTCTATGGCTGTTTAGTTCGAGTTTAAGACCTCTTGCTCAATGTTTTCTTTTTTCTTTTTTCTTTTTTTGAATTTTATAAGCTAAACTGCTACGGTATACTATTCACCATCAACTTCTGTTCTCTAATTCCTTGTTTTACTCTGTGTTGTTCAATTGTTGAATACATTTACACATACCTTATTGACTTCAGGTTCTGGAAGAGATTAGGGTGGGACTGGAATTGAATGATTACAGTATGCAACAGAGACGCATTGCTCATATGCGGTTCTTAGGAGAATTATACAACTATGAGCATATTATTGATTCATCTGTGATATTTGAGACATTGTATTTGATAATCTTTTATGGCCATGGAACACCAGAAGTAAGTTTTTCTTTCTGTCTATTCATTATATATGCAATGTTTAACACCTCTTAATGGTCTAACATATGCAATGACCTGCAACTCCTGCTTCTAACGAGGAATTCTTTTTAATACCAGTACACTTTTATTTCTTGTTATATAAAATTTTATAAACATGACTAGCATAAAATTGTTCTTGTCGTCTAGTACACTTGTAAATAGCATAGTTAGCAAATATCCTTTTTGTTCTTTTTTGTTTTGCTTATTTTGGGAGAGCTTACCAGTGTCCAGGAAAAAAAAAGTTTGTTAAATGATGTTAACTACATTTTAAATTAACTTTATACATACCATCAATAACTTGAACTGTTGACATAGCCACTTATGATGACTTCTTTCAGAGTTTCAGTTCTTAACCTTCAAATTCATAATAAAAATTTTCTTATGATATAATATCTAGAAAAAAGTAATCACATAATCCCCACTCTTATTCCTTTCTTTGTAACCCATGAGATCGACGGCCTAAAGTCAAGGACAAATAAGAAACAAGTCAAAACATGACCAACTTTGTATGTATCCCCGAACTCTCTCTCTCTCTCTCTCTCTCTCTCTCTCTCTCTCTCTCTCTCTCTCTCTCTCTCTCTCTCTCTCTCTCTCTCTCATAATAACACAAGCAGAGACACTAATAGTCTGAGAATTGGAGGCAAAAAGAAAAGTCATCTTTCACTCTGTTTTAATGTTTAGGGAGTTGGATGATAACCCGTTATCCTATTTCTTTTACATCACTGGAAAACATTTATTGAATGTGATTTATGTTCCTTCTTCATCTTTGATAAGTAGCAAGGATAGGACAGCACAGGTAGGGAGTGGATATATCTGCTGGTCAGTTAAGCTTCCGATGGGATTAAAAGAAAAGAGAGGGAGGGAGAGTCATCCAGCGGAAAGTTATGGGTTGATGTGTGCTTGAATTTTTAAGTTTCCTTTTGCTTTGTGGTTCCATCTGGGTTATCTATGCATCATGTGGTTATCCGCTTTAAAGTTCACTTTCTGTTCCCTTTTTTCCTTCTGTATCATGTCAGTCAGGAATTTTTCAATTGCCCAAATTCATAATCAGCTATACTTGTTTTCTCTTTTTATGAAGCAAGATGCACTGGATCCACCAGAAGATTGCTTTCGGATCAGAATGATTATAACACTTCTTCAGACATGTGGACACTACTTTGACAGAGGTTCTTCAAAAAGAAAGCTTGACAGGTTCTTGATATATTTTCAGAGATACGTGCTTAGCAAAGGTGCATTACCACTTGATGTTGAGTTTGACATTCAGGTCAGTTACATTACTTCCTATAAGTTCGATTTATTGTTAAGGTGCCAAATCCCTTCTCCAGTAGTAAAATCCCTCTCATTTAACTCTCAACCCTTGTATGGTTTATTCAAGAGTGGGTTTACTATTTTCACTTTCAACTAACCGAAGTGTATTTCCTATGCCTAAAATATCCATTTTTTTGTTGGTAGATTTACATGTGCTGAGACTGGAAAAAATTTGTTTGTAAGTTCATTTATCATGCTTACAGGACATGTTTGCTGAATTGAGACCAAACATGACCCGCTGCTTATCCATCGAGGAAGTTAATGCAGCACTAATAGAGCTCGAGGAACATGAGCACACAGCTTCAAGAGACAAGGCTAGTAGTGACAAACACTCCGATAGTGAATCTCAGAAGCTCTCATCTAAAAAAGCAAATGGAACAAGTGCAGAAAATGGATTAGTAGTAGTTGAGGAGAATGGGAAGGGTGGCCATGATGAGGCAATTAATAGTGAGAGCTACTCCGACACTGGAAGCATCATCGATCCTGAGATGCATGAGGATGAGGATGAGCTTCTTTCTGATGACAAATCCAACAGTGGATCCGATGGCGACGACGAGGATGATAGTGTGCCTGCTGCTGGCTCTGACGAGGACGAAAATGTCCAGGTCCACCGTAAGAATGCAGTTGAAGTTGTTGATCCTAGAGAGGAAGAAGACTTTGATCGTGAGCTCCGTGCATTATTGCAGGAGAGCCTAGACTCTCGAAAGCTTGAGTTACGAGCTCGCCCTACTCTCAATATGATGATCCCTATGAATATATTCGAGGGGTCCACCAAGGATACAAGAGCTATGGAAGGGGAAAGTGGAGAAGAAACAATGGACGATGAAGGAAGCGGAAGCGGAGGAGGAAGCACAAAGGTGAGAGTTAAGGTATTAGTGAAGAAAGGGAGCAAGCAGCAGACGAAGCAGATGTACATACCAAAAGAGTGTTCATTGATTCAGAGCACGAAGCAGAAAGAGGCAGAAGAGTTGGAGGAGAAGCAGAGTATTAAAAGGAGGATTTTGGAGTATAACGAGAGGGAGGAGGAGGAATCGAATGGGATTTCGTCCGCGAGCGGTTGGTTGCAAACTGGGGGTGGTGCTAATGGCGGCCAGTGGGCCGTGGAAATTGGGAGGGAGCAGGGAGGGGGGGACATCGGCAGCAGCGTTATCATTCCTCTGGTGGATTTTATCACGGATATTATGGGAGGAGGAGATAAATAAATAAATAAAATAAAGTAGAAAGAACATTCCATGCAATGTGTGTTTCTTACACCACAAATCAAATCTTCAAGAAACGTTATTCCTTCATGGATATTATGAAGGACGGGATAGGAAGAGATGGTTTTGTGAGATGGGTGTTTCTTATATAAAAGAAGGCTCATCTTCAAGAAACAAGATTCTGTCATGGACCTTATGGGAGGAGGAGATAAAAAGAGACATGAACCTGCGTGGCGCAAGTTTCTTACCAATGAAGGATTGTCTTCTGAAAGGATCTAAATTTGATCATTCGAGGAGACTTAGAATGATATGGGAGTATGACGATTCATCCGAAACAGCAGTATATATATATATATAGTGTTGACTTTGGGTATCTATTGGTATGTCTGTAAACTAGACTATCGTGTTGTTATGACATAAAACTAATCTCTAGGCTTATACGGCTTGTGTAAAATAATATATCATTTTTCGCTTTTTGCTAATAGTTTTTGTATATCTTGATGTTGAAGAAAAAGTGGGGTTTTCACTCTGCCTAATAGCCTGTGTGTATCTTTGATGATGATGAAAAGTGGTGGGAAGTTCTTACCAGGGTTCTGTGATGCGGGCCATATTTGTACTGTTTATGTTTTCAGTTAGCGTAATTTTTTGCCTTGAAGCTAGTATGGTCCTTTTCCTTTGATACCGCTTTTGCTTTGATTATATTGATCACCTTTATCAACTTCACCTTCTGTGCTTGGTTCTTTGATCCAATTTGTTTGGATGTCTTGAGCATTTGTAACAGATTGATTTATGCTGAGCACGCAAGTCTGTACAGTACAAGTGCGTAACGCAGAAATGTGTGTGTGTGCATGTGTATAAATGGGTTTGCATGTTATGAGGTGGTGGCCCATATATTAAAATGATCTGCCAAGAGAGACAAGATTCATAGCTTTTGATATGATTATTAGGGTGGGTTGTATCATGCGGTTATTTCTTTATCGCTCACTTAGCAAAATGAGCCGTCACTTTTATATATATACACGATTTACCGTGGGCATTAAAATTGTGGAAATGAGGCAGTCTGAGGGGCAAACCTAAAAATAATAATACGCAGCCCAAATTAAAAACTATATACCAAATTGGACGCGGTATATTGTTTTGTGGGTTTTTGTTTTTCGGGGGTGGTTTTGACATTGCATAATCACAATCTTCTCAAGTCCAAAGAGCACATAGGCATAATGTCATATTCTCCTTCTGTGTTTTTTTCTCTCAGATGTGGATGTTACAAGGGAAACAGGTACAAGATTTGATGTCACTGAAATGAGATCTCCTGTGGCTTTTCATTTTCTGTGCTTGCCCGCATGCTTTGAGGTTGTGCTGCGAGTGTCGCAATTGTGCTGAGGCCCTCCACTCCTCTGCTCTCCTATACACAATTGCCATTTTTTTCGATCAGTTTCTCCTCCAAATCTGACCTCATCTTCAGAATCTTTACCTTCAAACAGGTTGAAGCGTATCGTTCGACTTAGTTTCCTGCCATATAACCATGAAGCATATGAGATGTAGATCTCTGAAATAAGACTTATTATAATATGTGTAATCAGTCTTTTATTGTTACCTCAAGCTTTCTAGATTGTGCTTCTGCTTTCTGCAAATTCACCCTAGCTTGAATCCTTGCTTCTTCTCTCTGATACCTGAAATGACATACAAAATTATTACAATATGTAACATAATATCTCAAACTTTAGTTGTCATAATCAACCTTAGGCAGCTCTTGGTCCTCTCCTCATCTCTCCACAAAGAAACTCGAGTTCTCCTCAATGCTCTTCCTCCCTCCATCAATCCCAAGGTGTTTCAAACTCTTCGATATCTCGTATTCCTTCTCTTCTCTTGAACTCCATTTCAATGCAACCAGATCAAACTGAGCACCGAGATCAATCTTAGCGAAATGACAGTCATCAAGCTCAGAGATGTCGACGCGATTACCATTGGCCATCAAAGGACCAGACTTGCTAGCTGGAGTACTGTGTCTTGCTGGAGAAGAGCTCTTTATTGGACTATGGCATCTTGTAGTTGTTGAGCTAGCAAGAGGAGTCATCTCAGTGCCGATGTCTCTGTGCCGAGCCTTCTTTTGTGGGCTCTGGTCTATCTATGAGTCTTGACATCTAAAGGGTGTAAATTGAGAACTTTGATATGTTCTTGTTATGCTCTGTACTACTTACAGAAATAAAACTTGAAAATTTTAGCAGAGATTAGAAGAAGAGCAGAACGAATTGAACACCATGATCAACTTAAAAGGGAATATTTAGAGATCAATCAACAAGATAGCTGAATTCAAGGTAAGACTTAGAGCTTATAATGCCCTGTACCATTCGATCGTAATTTGAAGTTGCAAACTTTAGGGGAGAATTGCATTTGGGGAAGGGAAAAAAAAGAACAGGGAGCATTCAAAACCATGATTGAAGTTAAAAGGCATAATTAGAGCTCAATCAAGAACATAACTGAATACATTGACGAGCATAGGACTCCATGGAAAGCAGAGTCCTTGTGATGAAAGCTACTATTTTACCGTGAGAACTTTGGTCCCTCTGAGGATTTTGTCACAGGGGCAGGAGATTCATGACAAGAACTGCTAACGAGCCATTTCTCTGCATCTTCCCATTTTGAGTGCCAACTCTTTTTGAAGTTAAAAATTGGCCTCCCAGGAGTCGAGGGAGCTTCTACTGATCTCCTTCCCCCAACTGATCTCATTGCTGCTGCTGACTCTTCGTCTCGATGGAAATGCTCTTACAAAGTCTGAGGTTTCTTTGAGATTGAGCTTGCAGAGTTGATCAGTGAAGCTATCCCCAACTGGGTTTTCTTTGTTTGAAGCAAAATGTTGATTCCTGAACGAAACCCATCAAGAAAACTATACTGAATTCAACTTGCAACAAGCAAATGTGTGCTCTGGAAGAGAAAAAGGAGAGATTTATACCATTAAGTTTGCTGGGAAATTGGTGGGTCTCTATTTTCAAACTTGGTTAACTTCTGGGTACAGGAATGGATTTAATCCAAAACTGTTTCCCGTTGTTTGAACTCGTTCAACAAGCGTGGGCTCTGTATCACGAGAAATTTTTTTTGGAGGGAGAGACTGTATTTAATTAAGAGAACAAAATAGAAAACAAGAGGACCATAATTCTTTAATCACCTAAATCATAATAGTTCATAGAAGTCTAATGTGCTTTTTTGTTCAAGGATCAAGAGTGCTGATCTTTTCATATTTTAAATTAGTCTTTCAGATTATGGAAGCTGTCAGTAGTCCATCAATTCATATAAGAATATTAGGATGTTTTCTTTACGGATAAGGTATGGACTTCTGATAATTTGATTTAAAAAGGATCAACAATGTTCCCTTAAAATCTGCTTAAGGGATCCGATCTTTTTTAAATTAGGTGGCAATTAGAGTCTTTTATTTCTCCAATCATTGCCATATATTCTTTGAAAACCACTACTTTTTGAAACTATTATTCTTTGAAAACCACTATCACCACGGTGGAATCCTACATGGCCTAATATCGTCCATTGAATTCACAATGATAGGAGGAAATGATGTAGTTGGAATCTTATGTTGTTCCAGCTGCATCAAAACTCCAAACGCATTGTTTCGTTAGTTGTTGTTGCAACAACATTCGTTAGTTATTGCAACACCAAAATGTTGTTGCAACAACAAACTAAGCCAAAATAGGAGTGTTGGAACTACCCTCAATTTCAAGAGTGTTAACAACATGGTGTCATAAAAACATTTGTTGTTTCAACTTCACCCAACTAAACATACCTGATTGGAGAGGATCTGAATCTTGCGAAACAATAAGCCTTAACATCAAAAAGTAAAAAGGCCATCCATAAAAACAAACATTAAAAACTAATAGATGCAAGAGAGAAATCTAGGGTTAGGGTTTTCTTTTTCTTTTAAAATACTAGAGAAAAAAAGATAGACAGGGATAGTTTGAGGGCATCCTAAAGAGCTCCATTGGGATCCATATTCTTCTTGAGTAGCGATTTCGAGATCCATATTTTATATTACTTTATTTTATTTTATTTTATTTTATTTTTAGTTTATTTTTTTGCACTCTCTTTTTCTCTCTAACTTGCTTTGGTTTTCCCCCACCACTTTCCCCCTTTTTAATATAAGAGAGGTATATTAATCCAAAAAGGGATATTCGCTTTTATTAATCAATCAACCTTTATTAGTATACCAACCAATTACAGATAAATTTTTTTTAATATATCAAAACACGCAAAATATCTTATTTCTATAACATATTCTCCCTAGAATTCTATACCTAATCAACCAAACACTTGCATCATAATCCCGCTCTGTATTCTACGCCCATTGATGGCAGCCATGAGTCTCCATGAATAAAACGGGCCACCGTGAAATTGGCAGCTCATCCGAACTCGTAAGGCTGTGGTAGCCTAACCAGGAGACTCGACTCGTTGTGTTCGCGTCGTCCCCCCTGGTTCATGTATTCGGCGTAGTACAGGGTACCGGGCGCAGACTGACCATCCCACTCCAGCCAACCTTCAGGTCGGATCAGAGCTCCCAAATCGGACTCCATGAAGGTCGCCCTGGCTAGAGAAGTTCCCCCGAGGCCTGCCTAGGTAGGTGAACGTCTGACTGATATTCTTGGCTAGGTCCTCATCCGCTGTGATGTTACAGAGGTGGCACGAGAAACCTGTATTATGGTCAGAAGTTTGTCGTCCGTGAGTTGTCTGTTAGGGTAACGCTACTCGATCTCGTATCTGGCAGTGTTGGAAGATTGCAGCGGCATCCCCAAAGATGAAATCCACCGTCCCAGTGATCACACAATCCCGATAGAATTGGTGGCCGCTTCGGGCGTAGAGCGTGTCTTGGTAACCCTTGAAGGCACATTTGTAATACACCGACAAGTCAGAATCTGAACGGAGGGAGACCGCTTGGTACTTTGACAGTTCTGCGGTGTTTTCAATGGTAAGGTCCCGAGCAATGAACTTGCTGCCGGACACACCTTCAGGGTTTTTTTTTCAAAAAGTGAAGGGGTGGGGGTGTTTTGTAAAAGTTACCCATGCAAATGAGAAAGATCAAACATGGAGCATGAAACAAGTTGAAAATACTTACCAATGGTGGTATTGTAGGCTGTCTAAAAATCACAATAGATAGCTGATCCCCATCAAACACCGATGATGAAAGTTATAATCTGACGACTTCTAGAATGTTATAATTTGAAGACTTTCACATAGATCGATGAAAGTTACAAACTGACGACATTCGTAACAACTGATAAAAGCTCTAATCAACAGCCTTCACAATCAACATCGAGAGTTACAATCTGACAACTCTCATAGTTTTAAGGAGCCAATAAGAAGATTACAAGATGATAGTCTTTGCAACGCTCTAGCAAAAGAGACTACAAATTGACGGTCTCTTCAAATCCAGACGCAGAGCTCACCTATACGTCTCAGATTCAAAATGCATAGCTCGTGGCTGTGTTCCCGGAACAAAACGCATAGGTCCTCCCTACGTTGCCACATCAAAACGCTAAGGTTCTCCCCGTGTGTCAGCAACATAACGCAGAAGTCATCCGAACTCGTAAGGCTGTGGTAGCCTAACCAGGAGACTCGACTCGTTGTGTTCGCGTCGTCCCCCCTGGTTCATGTATTCGGCGTAGTACAGGGTACCGGGCGCAGACTGACCATCCCACTCCAGCCAACCTTCAGGTCGGATCAGAGCTCCCAAATCGGACTCCATGAAGATCGTCCTGGAGAAGTTCCCCCAAGGCCTGCCTAGGTAGGTGAACGTCTGACTGATATTCTTGGCTAGGTCCTCATCCGCTGTGATGTTACAGAGGTGGAACGAAAAACCTGTATTATGGTCAGAAGTTTGCCGTCCGTGAGCTGTCTGTTGGGGTAACGCTACTCGATCTCGTATCTGGCAGTGTTGGAAGATTGCAGCGGCATCCCCAAAGATGAAATCCACTGTCCCAGTGATCACACAATCCCGATAGAATTGGTGGCCGCTTCGGGCGTAGAGCGTGTCTTGGTAACCCTTGAAGGCACATTTGTAATACACCGACAAGTCAGAATCTGAACGGAGGGAGACCGCTTGGTACTTTGACAGTTCTGCGGTGTTTTCAATGGTAAGGTCCCGAGCAATGAACTTGCTACCGGACACACCTTCAGGTTTTTTTTTTCAAAAAGTGAAGGGATGGGGGTGTTTTGTAAAAGTTACCCATGCAAATGAGAAAGATCAAACATGGAGCATGAAACAAGTTGAAAATACTTACCAATGGTGGTATTGTAGGCTGTCTAAAAATCACAATAGATAGCTGATCCCCATCAAACACCGATGATGAAAGTTATAATCTGACGACTTCTAGAATGTTATAATTTGAAGACTTTCACATAGATCGATGAAAGTTACAAACTGACGACCTTCGTAACAACTGATAAAAGCTCTAATCAACAGCCTTCACAATCAACATCGAGAGTTACAATCTGACAACTCTCATAGTTTTAAGGAGCCAATAAGAAGATTACAAGATGATAGTCTTTGCAACGCTCTAGCAAAAGAGACTACAAATTGACGGTCTCTTCAAATCCAGACGCAGAGCTCACCTATACGTCTCAGATTCAAAATGCATAGCTCGTGGCTGTGTTCCCGGAACAAAACGCATAGGTCCTCCCTACGTTGCCACATCAAAACGCTAAGGTTCTCCCCGTGTGTCAGCAACATAACGCAGAAGTCATCCGAACTCGTAAGGCTGTGGTAGCCTAACCAGGAGACTCGACTCGTTGTGTTCGCGTCGTCCCCCCTGGTTCATGTATTCGGCGTAGTACAGGGTACCGGGCGCAGACTGACCATCCCACTCCAGCCAACCTTCAGGTCGGATCAGAGCTCCCAAATCGGACTCCATGAAGATCGTCCTGGAGAAGTTCCCCCAAGGCCTGCCTAGGTAGGTGAACGTCTGACTGATATTCTTGGCTAGGTCCTCATCCGCTGTGATGTTACAGAGGTGGAACGAAAAACCTGTATTATGGTCAGAAGTTTGCCGTCCGTGAGCTGTCTGTTGGGGTAACGCTACTCGATCTCGTATCTGGCAGTGTTGGAAGATTGCAGCAGCATCCCCAAAGATGAAATCCACCGTCCCAGTGATCACACAATCCCGATAGAATTGGTGGCCGCTTCGGGCGTAGAGCGTGTCTTGGTAACCCTTGAAGGCACATTTGTAATACACCGACAAGTCAGAATCTGAACGGAGGGAGACCGCTTGGTACTTTGACAGTTCTGCGGTGTTTTCAATGGTAAGGTCCCGAGCAATGAACTTGCTGCCGGACACACCTTCAGGGTTTTTTTTTCAAAAAGTGAAGGGGTGGGGGTGTTTTGTAAAAGTTACCCATGCAAATGAGAAAGATCAAACATGGAGCATGAAACAAGTTGAAAATACTTACCAATGGTTGCATCATGGTCCCACAACTGGCGGCGAGAAGCTTTAAGAAGGAACGGGAGCCGACGCGCGTGGTGGAGTTAAAGGCGCCGGAGTTGGATCCCGGATACGTCGTCGCCGCCGACGAGGTGAGAAGTAGGAAGACGAGGAGGGTGAGAGAACTCATCGGGAAGCCGAAGAAGAGGGTTTTGCATGGAGGAGAATAAAAGACGCGCGGACGACGTATAATGATCAATGGCATTAATTTTGCACGCCAGGCGGAGTAAGGATGCGAGAGAAGTGAACTCATTGCAGATCGAGAAACTTCTTTTCTTATCGGAGAAGAAGAGTAATTCAATCACAGTGCATGGATGGAGATCAGAGAAAGTGGCCGATTAATAATGAAATGAAATGTTTGGAAATAAACACCTTATAATTTGTTATTTGGAAATTAATTTTGGCCACTTACTTCTATACTTGAGAAATTCTATATCTTTACCTTAATTGATACAAAAAATGTGACGCCTAATTCTATATTTTTTCCAGGATTCCTTAAGAAGCTAATCCTTTTAACTAGGATTATTCGTGGTCCTAATTGTTGTTCCATTTAACCTGGTTAACTCAGTTTCTCAATCGCTGCCCTTATGTTAATTTGGGTCTCAACAGTGGATTTGTCAAGACAAATGTTTTTCACTTAATAGTTTCTCAATTCTTACTTGTCGTTGTGTAACGACTCCATGGGGGGGACTGATAAGTCTCCGGTGCATGATGCCATGATGCCATGTCCGGAGACTATTATTCTTTGAAAATCACTATAACCACAGTGGGATCCTACATTGCCTAATCTCGTCCATTGAATTCACAATGATAGGAGAAATTGATGTTGTTGGAACCCTATATTGTTCCAACTGCATCAAAACTCCAAACGCCTTGTTTCGTTAGTTGTTGTTGCAACACCAAAATATTGTTGCAACAACAAACTAAGCCAAGATAGGAGTGTTGGAACAACCCTCAATTTCAAGAGTGTTAACAACATGGTGTCATAAAAACATTTGTTGTTTCAACTTCACCCAACTAAACACATCCTAATTGGAGAGGATCTGAATCTTGCGAAAAATAAGCCTTAACATGAAAAAGTAAAAAAGCCATCCATAAAATCAAAGCATTAAAAACTGATAGATGCAAGAAAGAAATCTAGGGTTAGGGTTTTCTTTTTCTTTTAAAATACCAGAGAAAAAAAGATAGACATTGATAGTTTGAGGGCATCCTGGAGAGCTCCATTGGGATCCATATTCTTCTTGACTAGCGATTTCGAGATCCATATTTTATATTACTTTATTTTATTTTATTTTATTTTATTTTTAGTTTATTTTATTTTTAGTTTAAGGATATTCACTTTTATTAATCAATCAGTCTTTATTAGTATACCAACCAATTACATATTCATAACTTTCTAATATATCAAAACACGCAAAATATTATTTCTATAACATATTCTCCCTAGAATTCTATACCTAATCAGCCAAACACTTGCATCATAATCCCGCTCTGTATTCTACGCCCGTTGACGATAGCCATGAGTCTCCATGAATAAAACGGGCCACCATAAAATTGGCAGCCTCATCCGAACTCGTAAGGCTGTGGTAGCCTAACCTTGTAACCCGACTCGTTGTGTTCGCACCGTCCCCCATGGTTCATGTATTCTCGTAGTACAACGTGTCGGGCGCACGCTGACCATCCTGCCAAGGGTGGATTTTAAATATGAATTAGGGGTGCAGTCGTACCCCTAACAATTTAAAATTTGCCTTTGATTTCTTTCTAATTTGCAAAACACTCTCTCACTTTTGCTAAAGTGTATTAAGTTGCATTCCTATTGGGTGTTGTAATTTTATAATATTATATTTTTTTTTGGTCAAAACCGCTTTTCAAAATGAGTTTTCAAACTATATATATATTAACTACTAGTACTTTTCATAAATGCTTAGTAGCCTAATGAAAATTTAAAGTTTTGGTATTTCAAAAGGTCCTCTGTTCGAGGCTTGTCAATGACAAGCCGATAAATGTTTTATTTTAATTAATCCCTCATAAGTTCTAGTTTCAAAAGGTCCTATGTTCAAGGTTTGCCAACAACAAGCCAAGAAGTGTTTTGTTTTAATTAATCCCTCATAAGTTCTAGTTGATCGTGGGTCGTGGGCCAATGGGCCGGAGATCGGGGCTAATCGAGTTGAGGCGCTAAGTGGCACTTTGTGACAAGCCGATAAATGTTTTATTTTAATTAATCCCTCATAAGTTCTAGTTTCAAAAGGTCCTATGTTCAAGGTTTGCCAACAACAAGCCAAGAAGTGTTTTGTTTTAATTAATCCCTCATAAGTTCTAGTTGATCGTGGGTCGTGGGCCAATGGGCCGGAGATCGGGGCTAATCGAGTTGAGGCGCTAAGTGGCACTTTGTAAGGCGCATTTTACACTTTGCACGGAGGCATCGGGGCTAGGTGACGCGCACGGAGACATCGGGACTAGGTGGCGCCCTTTGGTGCCACATTGGCTGTCACTATGGTCGCCACAAAGGTTGACTCGCAGGCTACTTTGTAGCAGACGGACGAGCTACACATTCGCACGAGGGTGTGACCCTAGCGTTCTCGGGATC